AAATAATAGCAACGTTAGCCCTTTGGTACTGACCAGGTTGTTCAATACATTTATTAATTTGAGCTATTTAAAGTAAGAATTCACATAGCATAGTAAACATTTTGGCTGGAGTGGGAAATGGATTGCTGCTATACCAGGACTGAGGACAACTTGGAAACTTGAGCAATGCAGCCATGGGCTAGACATAGCCTTGAGCCTAAATGAGCCTACTAATAAGCAATAGTGCATTGACTCTATTTGGGAAATCTATCTGCTGACTGATCCATTCATAAAAGCAAAAGAAACTGAAACAGCAGGAATAATCTTAATACAAATTAAGCACAAATAATAGAAATAACCATAAATGAACAATTTATGATGATTTACCATGAATAAGTAGGTGCTATTTCAGTAATGACTATCTGAAAGATCCTTCATCTTTTCTCATTACCCATAAAAATATTTGTTCCCCTGTGTATTCTTCCCACCCATTTCTTTCTCTCCCTGTGCTATGCAGCTGCTTCCCACTAGCTATCTATTTTACATTTGGTAGTGTATATATGTCAGCGCCACTCTCTCACTTCATCCCAGCTTACCCTTCCCCCTCTCATTTTTCTCTTCTCTCTTTTTCTACCACATTTTCTCTTTCTTATCCTAACTTTTCTTCCTTCCTTTCCTTTCTGGATCCCTCCCTGCACATCCCTCTTCTCTTTTTTCCTCCCCTTTATGTCAAGCATTGCCCAAGTACTGAACAGAGGAAACAAATGATGTGCTGGTTTCTGTCCTAGACTTCCTCAGTGAAGTATAACAAGAAAATATACAACAATGTTAAGGTAGAGGCACTATAAAAGAACTAGGGGGACTGACATTATAATTTGGCTTCAAGCACGTGGCAGATTAACTGACTTAATTTCCTAGCTGGATTCACTCTTTTACAAAGCAGGCTTCACCATTAATTACCTGCAAAATAGTCTCCTAATGGTCTCTTCATAGTCCCTACCAGTCCGTGCTGCCCACAGCTGTTCACATTCTCATTGTATTTCTCACTAGTTTAAAATCCTTAATTTCAAGCAAATCACTCACGCATTCATTCATTCATTCATTCATATCCCCAATGATGAAAATACTGCTCTTTTCTGCCTGTAGGGAGAAGTAAAAAACCCTTAATGTAGCAAGTATATCTATCACACTCTGGTCCATCCTGGCTTTCTTTCTTTTTTTTTCCTTTTTAAAGATTTTTTTGGTGTGTACCATTGTTAAAGTCTTTATTGAATTTGTTACAATACTGCTTCTGTTTTATGTTTTGGTTTTCTGGCCACAAGGCATGTGGGATCTTAGCTCCCTGACCAGGGACTGAACCAGCACCCCCTGCATTGAAAGGTGAAGTATTAACCACTGGACCGCCAGGGAAGTCCCTGTGGCTTTCATTTTTAATCCCTTCTATGCTGTGTAGTGCCTTCCTCCTTCCACCTATCATTTCTTATTCATTCCTTGAATTAGCTTACAATACTTAGTACTTTCCTCTGTGAAGCCTTTTCTGACTCCTTGTTCATCTTGGAAATGTTTGGTGCTTCTTGCTCCTGAAGGTGTTTTAAAAATTTTTTATTTATTTTATTTTATTTTTTAATGCTTCTTTTAAAGTCCACTCTTGTCCTAAGTGTCATGTAGTTATTTTATTTTGATTGACTTTTCAGAAAATATTTTTCATCATAAAGTTAATATATGCTTCTTATAGCATTTTTCTTCCAGATTTTTTTCTATGCGTAAATTTTATAATTTATTGTACCATTTTTAAAATAAAGAAGTCTCTACCTCAGAGATTTGATACATTTTAGTTTGTATTTTCTTTTCTTAAGGTTCACTTCTTTTATTATTTTTTAATTTTAAAATTTTGTAATATATATATTTCATAATATTCAGTCTTTATATAGAGCTGAAATTTATTTTAGATCCATATTGATTATAGATTATAATATTCAAAGAGCCAAACAATTCTGCTAAAACATATATGACTTTGTCTTCATTGTCTGGACATTGTACTATATTTTTCAAGTGGGTTGCTTAGAATCCTCACAAACCCCTGCAAGACAGTTGTTTTCAAGCTTACTTTATAGATGAAGAACCCAAAACTCTGAGAAGTTAACAACTTGTCCAAGGTCAAACAAGTTGTGGTGATAAAATAGGGTTCACATTTCATTCTAATGCCAGTAGTTATAGTTTCTGGTTCACTAGGAAGCCTAAATGTAAGATTAGCCTTCTTTCCTTTTTTTTTTTTGCGGTACGCGGGCCTCTCACTGTAGTGGCCTCTCCCGTTGTGGAGCACCAGGCTCCGGACGCGCAGGCTCAGCGGCCATGGCTCACGGGCCAGCCGCTCCGCGGCATTGTGGGATCTTCCCAGACTGGGGCACGAACCTGTGTCCCCTGCATCGGCAGGCGGACTCTCAACCACTGCGCCACCAGGGAAGCCCCCTTATTTCTTTTCAAAACTATATTTTTGATTCTTGCTTGATCTGTCTTTCTTACCGACATTAGCAACATTTTAAGTTTTAAAAAAATATCACAATACGATTCTGATTGGATTTTGTGTAATACGTACTTATGAATTAATTTTAGGAAAAGGGTAATTCTATTATATGTTATCTTCTGTCCAAGAATATAGTTTGTCTTTTATATAGCTCAGTAAATTTTAAAATAATTTTCCTCATTTAGGTCCAACATATTTCTCAATAAGGTCATTATATTTTTCTTGCTATTGCAAGTAATATCTTTTCATTATATTTTCTAACTAGTTATTGCTTACATATGAGAAGATATTGACTTTTAAAAATATTTTTGTATACATGCTGTAGTTTTAGGGATCAAGTATTGCAATGTCTGTAACTTTCTTTTAAATGCCTTAGCAAAAAAGAAAAAATATAAAGAGAGAGACAGAGAGTAAAATTATACAAACATATAGATGTATGGATAAAATGAGGGAGAAAGCAAATGTGGCAAAATTGTAACAATTGATGAATCTTGGTTTAAAAAATGCAGATGTTCATTGTATTATCCTGGCAACTTTTTTGCAGGTATAAAAGTTTCCAAAATAAACAGCTGAAAAAAAATCTTATATTTGGTCATTTCATTGAACTCTCTTATTAATTCTAACACTTCCGTGTTGAGTCTCCTGTGTGGTGAGATTCTAGGTAAACAACCATATCAATTGTAAGTTATCAAAATTTTGTTTTCTATTTTCTAATAGTAAATCTCCTTTTACTGCCTTATATCTTCTTGAAATTAGCCAAATTTTTTAAGAATGATGTTAAATGAAAGCATCAGATGTCATTTTGTTACTGTTCTTCCTAAGTTTAATTGACATGCCTCTAAACTTAGTTTCCCTTTTAGGTATAAGATCTATTGATATCTATATTTATCATTGTTTTTTTAAATTTTGTTAAGAAACTTATTTTCCTATTCTTCATCCCCAATGAGGTTTCCTTCAGCATGACTAATGAATTTTATCAATCTATTGAATAATACATTCTTTTCTAATATTACTAAATAATATTTCATTTTCACTAGTTGCCCTTACCGGAAATTAGCAAATGGTCACAAATATTAGCAAAATACCAGGGACAAAATAAATGCAAAACAAATATTTGTTAAATAAAAAGAAGAGGCAAAGAAAAGCAAGCAGTAGAGAAGGATTACAATGAAGAAAAGGCGGGTCAAAAATAATCTGCATTTTTCACTCTAGATGCTGTGATAGTTCTGATTTAAGAGGGATTTTTTTGACTAGAATTTTAAATATACCTTTCATTGAATCACACTGTGTAAATGCTGGCACATGATAGGTGCTTAATACAGTTTATTACCTTAACTTTTCGTCTGTTTTTCATATACAATTTCTGCTCCATATGTAAATGCTCATTTAATCTGTTATGGATAACAAGGACATCGTTACTGTTGAAGAAAATGATAGCTAAAGGATCTGCCTTTTTATTCACTAGGAAATTAATTGAATTTCCAAGTAACTTTTATTTCAATTGTTACATAGATTAAAAAAAACTTTATTTCACTTTTCTGATCCTAGTTATTATGTTACTTAAATTGCATTAAACATAAGTTAATATTTGTTCAAATCAGAAGTATTGACATTGAGATTATAAAGTAATTTTAATCCACATAAATAAAATGAATTTTTATGCTAAAAAAAAAAGGAATCTGCCTTTGTTTTGTATAACTTTACAATCTCCTAGTCATCCAAATGGAGCCCGTAAATAAAGCCTCAAATGGTTGTCTAGTGGGTTTCAACTACTTTCTCCTTTCAATATACTTTAAAAAATTACGTGGGGTTTCCCTGGTGGCGCAGTGGTTGAGAGTCCGCCTGCCGATGCAGGGGACACGGGTTCGTGCCCTGGTTCGGGAGGATTCCACATGCCGCGGAGCGGCTGGGCCCGTGAGCCATGGCCGCTGCGCCTGCGCGTCCGGAGCCTGTGCTCCGCGGTGGGAGAGGCCACAGCTGTGAGAGGCCCACGTACCGGAAAAAAAAAACAAAAAAAATTACGTGGTACCTCTAACTATAATTACCCAAACCAAATTACAGTTTTTTCCCCTTTAGTATACTTTTCATGATACACTGCATTGGAGGCAATTTATAAGAAACCTTAACTTTTAGATAACAAACCAAAGCAACATTAAAATGAAGTCAAATAAAAATTAGATACACGGATCATAAAAATTGCATAGTTCCTGTAAATGCTGGATAAGGAGGCTATGTTTCCAAACACTGGAAAAGTAAGGAAGATGCACTTTAAATAGAAACTTTTTATTTTTTTTAAATAGAAACTGTTTATTTTTAAACAGAAACTTTTAAAAACTTTTTAAAATAGAAACTTTATTTTTCATTCACCTTGTTTCCATTTTCTGTTTAAGAAGGCCACACAGTGGTGGTTCCTACCCATTCAGTGAACTGAACGGTGGGGCTGCAGACCAGTCCCCAGTGGCAGGCTGAGGTCCAGTCTTCATCAGGGAACTGCTGGATGGGCACAGAGGGCACCTGTGCCTTCAGACCAGCCAGCGACCTCCGGTAAGTACAGTCCATTCACCCTGAAATCCCTCCCTGGTCACAGCCTTTTCAGCAGTGCCTGCTCTTCCTTTTGAACCTACAGGACCTCCGTAGCTATAGAGATCAGGCGTGGCCGCCCAGAGACGGTGCCGCACCTGCGCAGAACTTCCTGGCCCAGCAACCAACGCGTCAGACCTGCCGGACGCTGGCGTGGACGGCAACATCCGCACGGTGCAGAGGAGAGTCTGTGTGATACAGTTAAGCAGGTTAACATAAGACGCGTCTGTGAGAGGCTGGTGGTTGTCCTGGAGTCAGTACCCACTGGAAGTCGCGGCTCCCAGAAGGCTGCGTGGATCCGGTTAGGGAAGCTTCTAGGTGTGGAGCGCCTGCCACAGGAGGGGCTCCAGTGGCAGTGGCAAACTTCAGCACAGTTCGGGGGACCGGCATTCCTAGAGGATGTGACATTGACCTCAGCAGGGTTTTCAGTGGCAACAATGGCACGAGCCACCAGCAGGAGCTTTTCGAGGTTCGCTTCAGATTAATGAGGTAATGCCATCATTTTTCCTTTTATAAATGACTGTTGCATTTGGAAATCAAGGTTGGTGCCACCTGAGTGGGCTCCTGCTGCAAGGAATTTGAGGACATCTTGTTTCTTCATTTTCAGGACATCAGGGACCCTGGACATGGTAAATTTTCGCTTTAATCATGATGGGAACCCAGAACAACGCCTTTCTGGGTAGGGTGGAAAGGCCCCTTTAATTTTGTTAGGCTTATTTTATCTGTCAAAGGGAAAGATGAGTAAGTCTTTTGAAATTCATTTTTTGGGTAGTGCTTTGAAAAGGAATAAACAGTATTTTAGTGATAAGCTGATATCTAAAATCTAATTTCACTTGAAATTATTTTTATTATGTCAAGAGTCATATTTGCAGAGAGTACAGTCTATGCATTGAAACATTTATTAAGCATTGGACCAAGACAATGCTGCCATTAGATGTATTCAGAACTAACTGATGAGAGCCGATTCTTTTAGCAAATATGTACTTTGATAAGACTTGCCTGTCAAGCCACAAGTAAAACTCAATGAATGCAGGACAATGTACTGTTGATCAAAAAAGCTTAAAGATGCTGTAAACATTTCAGACATTATCTTTAATTCATCCACCTATCCATTCACCTATCCATCCATCCATGCAACCACTCATGCTTTTATATTTAAAAAAAAATTATCAGACAATAATTTTCTATGCTTTTATTTTTAAAACAATAAACCTGCCTTTTTAGGCAAAATTATTATTTCTTTCTATTGAGAAATGTACATGAGACACAGGGCAAGGTCCTTAACAAGTGTTCTCTAAATATTGCATAGATAATTGTCTAGGCAGTAGAAGTGAGACAGATTGATTAATTCATATTATCTACTAACAGCTATTTTAAGATGGTATGCATCCAGAATTTCCCTATGTAGTTTCAAATTCCATATAATTGTTTGAATCCATATAAAAATGAATTTGCCTTGGGATAGCATATTTTAGGAGGAATTTTACCATCTTGTTGTTGATATAGAGACATGTGGACTAAAAGATGGTATAGTTAGTAAATTTTTAGCTATTTAAACAGTGTTTCCAGAGTGTTGATTAATGGACCAGTACTAACCTGGAGGTGATATCTCCAGTGGCATATCAAGAGTGTCTATCCTATATACTTCTTCCTTAAAGTTCATATAAATAATTTGAATGAAGACTTAGATACATTGTGTTTGTAGAAGAAGCAGAATTGAGAGATATATATGAAAACACTGAACCCATCAAATCAATATGTGACAAAATCAACACAATGAAGTTTAATAGTCACACACTCACACACACAATGTAAGATATGTAAATATGCAGTCTTCCATTTTGGTTAACAATATCAAGTGGAAGTATATATATCAGGATTATCTCTTTTTTAAAAAAAATCTGAGCTCTATCCTAATAAGAACTGAAAACAGAGCAATAGTTATCAATAAACATGCTTGTTATACAGTGTTATAATAGTGAACTATTTAAAATAAGTAAATGTCCAAATGAGGAAATTAGTTACTATAATCATGATATAGTCACTTGATGGAATATCATGCATTCATCAAAATGAAACTTATGAAGAGACAAGAGTTTCCAACAACATGGTAAGATGCTTGTGTATTAATGCTAAAAACCTTAATACAAATCAGATGCCTTAATCTAAATAAATAATTAAAATGCTATGCAAATAAAAATTGAACAAGTATATTCCAAATACTATCTTTGTCTTTCTACTATGCACTATCTTAGTTCTGCTTTTTGTCTCAGTTTTTATACTGAATATATATTATTTTTTATAATTATATGAATATTTTAAAGTCAGTCACAGAAGTAGTAGATTGAGGATATCTGGCTTGAAAGCAGTTAATCCTGATGGCTAATGACAATCACAGTTTGTTGAAAATCCTGTGCTTTTCATGCTTTACCAAACTTAATCCTTACAACAAACTTTAATTCACTTAAGCCTCACAACAACTGTATGAGGTATGTATCATCATCCGCATTTTAAAATTCAAGCTTAAAGACCACATTATTAGTACATGGTAGAAATCATGCTCTGAAAAGTTAAACATGAGCCTGCAGTGAAATTAATAACAACTTCATAAATTATGATAAGGAAGTAATATATGTAAAGTACTTGCCTCAGTACTAATAAGTAGAAAGCTCTTATGATTAGTTTGGGCGGACACACACACACACACACACACACACACACACACACACAGAGGTGATGATGGTAGTGGGGGCTGTCATGGTCACCTTACAGTATTTTAAAGAGCTGTATGGAAAAGAAAGAAGTCTTTTTTTGGTGGTTTCAAAGGATTGAACTAGGACAAATCGTGGAAATTACTAAATGTAAATTTCCATTCAATATAGAATTCTTAAGATATTGGCTTACTTAGCTCTTTATTCCTGGAAATATTAAAACACAGTCTAAATGATCATGTATCAGAAATACTAAATAGAGGAGATTTCTTTTGTGTGAAGATTTTTATAAGAATTCCTATTTATTTAAACCTCTGGAGTTCTTTTTAACCCCAGGATCCTATAATTCAGTTATATTTTATCTTTCTTAATTCTTAATTATTTTTCCACATTCTTCATGTATTCTATCAAAAAGTGCATCTACTCCTCTACTGCTTTATTTCAATGTAGGCATTTGTTATTGGAACCAAATGAATGTTCTCTTCATCTTCACAGCTAGAAACTTTTAAACATAGCAGTTTGTGTTTCAAGTGTCCATTACAAACAAATCTGAGTTTTGGATGAATCTGATAAGATGGATGTTGTCCAAAGAAATCAAATATGATCTTCTTTCCATGTGATGGGGCAGGTGGTGTCTCAGGTGACTACTCTGGGCAATGATTTTGAATTTGGAGCCAAAGCAGGCGGAGACAATTAGCAGAGGCAAATTTTAAGGGTTTCCAAGGTCAGTACACAAGGTAAACAGTCTGGGAATAGTTGCCAAAGCCAAATGGAACAAAACAAGGAGGGTGAACCAGTTCTCAAAGCCAAAAGGGTAGAAAGCAAGAGCAGATTTCTGAAACTTAGAACAATGGAATAAAGACAAGAGTGGAGAAACTCTCCAATCTGGATTTCAGATTATGTCATATCCACAGCCTCAGTAACTGTGGTAGTGGCTGGGAGAGGCAGACACCAGTGCTCACACTAAATTGATACCCTCAGGCAACATTAAGTTATTAAAAAATATTTAATGAATGTATCTTATGAGCAGAGCATTTTACTAAGTACAGTGAAAAATACGAAAAAGAAATAGGCATAGATCATGTCTCAAAGAGCTTAGTTTCTAATGGAGTGGAAATCTATGAAAGAAATACAATAAAAAGTGCAAAAATGTATGTCATTCCTAAATTAAGTAGTAGGGGAAAAAGGACTTAATTTATTGCGTGGTTATGTAAATATGCAAGTGGGCAAATATGAGAGGAAGAATGCGAATAGTTCAGGAAAAAAATTTCCAAAACCTTCCAAAAGACATTGCATCATCTTTTAACTTCCTAGTTCAGTATAATTGTACTCTTAAAATGAATTTAACTTATGAAAGCAATCAACAAATCCATGCCCTCTGCATGAAGTTACTAAAGATCAGAGTGGTTGAAGGACTTGCCCAAATCACACAGCAGTTCTATTTGTGGGAGTTCTGTTTGTCTGATTAACAGGCATTAGCAGGAAATGATTGTTCATGTAAATCTCTATTAACTAGTGGTAAACCACTTTTTGTTAAGCATTTTTATATCCTCATTAAATTGCACATGAATCAGTTTGATAAATCTGTTGTTGTTCAACAGCTGAAAGCATCACAACTGATAAACTTACTCAAAGTGCTGCATGAAAATTTATACAACTCCCAAACCATGTGATGGTTGACTGATGTACGTGCTAACACTGTGTGAAAATGAATTTTGGATTCCATGTTATTTCCTCTGTTTCTTCCTCAGATGTTGTGTTAGGACATGCTTTATTACAAATATTATATCTATCTAATCAAACACTGATATGGATCATGACAGCCATCTCCTCTCTACTGCTTTTACACCAGCTGTTAAGGGTTCTACTGTGACTCAATACTAGTGCTACAAGATGATCCTGAAGCTTGCATTTATCTATGATACTGTTTACATTTCTTTTTAAGAATCATGGAGGAAACTAAAAATGAAAAATATCTAATTTTGGATGTGTGATAGTTTTTATTTTACAGTATCTAATCCTATTTATAACTTTTTTTAAAAAAATTGAACTTAGAGGACAAATAGCACCATTTTGCCTGGGTTTGTGTGAGAAATCTCAGACAGAGAAAGGTCAGAGTGAGTTAATGACAGAAATACCAAAAAAATACAGCTTTTTATCCCTTAGAAGCTCCTTTTCTCCCAATAAATATGGAATTTATAAAGTTCAATAAAGACATATATTCTTTGTAGCCTTCATTTTAGTTAGTATAAATAACTATTTGCAGAACCAGCAAAGTGTTAAAGGAAAAGGGTTATTAATATTATGACTATTTCTGCCAATTCAAAATAATCTTGGGATTAAAGTTTTTTTATTTTCAGTAATTTTCTTAGACAGCACTTCAATACTCAAAAACATATGGTGTTTACAATTTTACCCACAGGCTATTTTTCCAGAATGACTTCACCAATTGGCAATCACAGGATTTTCAGGATAGATTTCATTTCTTAATTTTATTTCCTCTACCTCTTTTCTCACTCTTAACTCTTTACTGCTATCATCACATCATCCATTCACCAAGATGAGTTAATAAATTTATTATGTTGTAGGAGTAGTAAAATTGCATGTTTTCTTCAACAACCTGTATAAAGCAGAAGTGAATTTATTTTATTTATACATATAAATACATAAACATATCATTATATATGAACAACTGTTTGTTCTCTCTCCATCTATATCTATATTCTACATAAATCTATAAATGGATACTTATTCAAGGATATAGGACCAATTTTACTGATTGTGAAAAATCTGGCACAACATTTTAGCCATGATAACTACTCACAACCATGGAGAAGTTTAATTAACGTAATAGTTCCATTTTCATATACTTTGAGCACTAGGATATCTACCATACCAGTCTGGAATCCAAAGCGTTA